TTTTTGATTACAAAAAATTTATAAGAATATTTTGTATATATCAGTTTATAGTTTAAAGCACTTGTCCACTCCCTTGGCAGCCTATGTTCACTTTCCATGCGATTTAAGCACTTATCCAGCCTTTTATATCACTTTGCCAACATCCAATCCATAAAAAAGTGACTGGCAAAAAAAAGTGCCAAGCTGTTGGTGCGTGCTAAGCATAGTTAAAGTCCAGATCCATATTTGTTTTAATGGCCACAGACATGGATATGGACCGGAATCGAAATCGGATTCGGATTCGGAGTCGGGAGGTCTACTGCCGGATGACAATAACCGTCGGGATAATAATAAGCGACAGATAACCTTAATAATGACCAGAAGCGTCAAGGAATAACAAAGGAGCAAGTCCAGAGTGGTATGAATGAAGTGGGTAAGGGACGATACGTGCTCGATATTCAATAACCACATGGGTGAAAAAGGCAAGGGACCAGTGGTGGCAGCGAAAGCTTATCAAAAACAGCAATTACAAATAGCTAAGTTTAGCTAATATCTATATTTAGTTAAAAGAAACAATAAGATACTTAAAACTATGAGAAACTTACCTCTTAAAATAAAGCAGTGCCAAAAAACGTCAAATAATTTAATTTCAATTAAAACAACTTGCCTATTTTATGGACAAATACAAAAATCTAAATACTTAAAAATAATGTTTTTTTATGAGGCTTAAAACCGTGAGCCAATATGTTTGTTGATAGTTTTATGATAAAAATTAAAAACCTTAGCTTCTTAAATTAAACAATGGTACAATCAGAAAAATATTGAACTCTAAAAAGTAAACCAAATTGGATGTGAACATTTTTTGTTAAAATATTTCAACCTAAGAATTATATTACTTTTTGCAAATTTTATATATTTTTTTTGTTTTTGATCGATGGCCAAATAATACGAAATCCGAAAAAGTAGCCAACTGGGTAGCGCTAGTAGCGGCCATGGCGATGGGGCTCAATAAAAAAATTGAATTGAACATTTCCGGGTGGACAGTGCTTATGGCAACCGTGTGGGCAACCGGACAACGGCCCATGACTGACCCATTCAATTAAGCATGAAAAAAAGTTGCTGGAAAAATCCAAAGGGGGAGTGGCCGGAGGACGTGGGCCCGTCTAGTCCATAAAAAAAGGACATCACTTAAGGAGAAACTCGGACAGTGGCCGCAACAAAACACGCATCACTTGTCACACATACTTAGCAGACATGGGCGTGGGTGGGAAGAGGGGGTGGTTTGGTGAGGGGGCAAGTATCCTGCCCCTCTAGTCGATGGAAAAAAAAAAGAATCCCCCTCCGTCATGTCCTGGTGTTGTTATTGAGGTGTAATACAATTTTTTGCCATGATACCCCATAACAATGGCTGAAACAGAAACGGAGACAAAACAAACCATTCCGGTTTTCACTAGGTGGGAAATTTTGGCGGATTCGATTCACCAAAAAGTACGTAAAATATTACATTATTACATTATTATTACATTACAAAATATCAATCAATTTATTTATTTATGTCTTAGACATACATACAACTTTTAATTAAATACTTACATTTTGATATATATTGATTAACAACTTCTACATAAGTGAACGTTTTATCAGTATTAATAATATAGTTAAAATCAAAAAAATTGAGAAAACTTCGAAAATTATTTTGAAATGTTGTTCGAATTTAATTAACACTAAACAGTTTTTAAATACTTCTCTCAGTACATCAATTTTGAATTTAACAATTTATAACAATTAATGGTATCTTGCACTTTGATTTATTTTATTTTATATGGCCCTTACCTCTGTTCTTTTTCCATTACTGTTGCTACAATTTGTATCGTTACCAGCACTCAATATTATTATCAGCTAAATAAAAATCTTGTGCCGGGAATTTGAAAACCAGAACATCGGCAAAAGTCAGATACAGTCTGCGAAATCGAATCAGAAAAGGTTAACGAGTCCGGGGCACATATGGCGGCATTAGTTTGGGATCCGGAATCGGGTATGGGGAGGGCATCCAATCGTGGACAACGCATAAACTTGCAATTGAGCCAATTTGTAAAAGTGCGGCAAGCCCATTAAGATGAAGTCCTGGCAGTCGGGTCCTGGAAATCGAACGGCAGCCAGGACACCTGCTCCCAGTTCCCAGCTCCCAGCTCCCAGCTTCAGTTCAGTTCAGTTCACCCCCATATCCATTCGAACCAAAAGGAAACTTTTGTTGGGCATCTACTTTGCATTACAAGCGCCCACATTAAAATTAAAATAAAGTTTTCCTGGGGATATATATCCCTTTCAGTTCCGTCCAGTCCCTTTGCTTTTGGTTACTCGGCTCCTTTTTTCACTTTTTTTTTTTTTTTTGGTTTTTTGTGCAACTACAAATAAATCTAAAACTCGCACATTTCTGATGGATACTTACACTTAAACTCACACACAAGGACACAAAGGATACGGGTCGGCCGCAGTTGGCCATTCGCAGTTTTATTTTTGCATTTACATCAGCCCACATGCATTATGCATACGTACTTATATACACGAGGATACATAAATATATATGGAGAAAATATAACCATTTGGATACACTTTCTCTTTAATCATGTTTAAAAAAAAAAGGTTATCACCAAAACTAAGTAAGTTGAAAATAACAGTAGTACGCTCTACGAACACTAGAAAATGTATTATATCTAAAAGGATATAAGAGTAATAAAAGTATTATTGCCATTAATAAATTTATATTTTTGCAATTAAATTAAGTTTTTTCACTACCAAACTTTTTAAATTAGAAGAGTGTTAAATTAGAAACAAGAAAAAATCAAATCAAATCAAAAGAAAGAAACCTAAAGCAACAAGCGTTGTGTTTTCTTATCTATGCTTACATTAATGCCATAGGTTTTTTCAAGATTTTATACAAAATTATGGGAACCATAATCGATAGTAATAGCCACATAAATATAAAATAAAGCTAAGACCAACAGTAGAGCATTATCACTTCCAAAAGAATATTATCTTGCACTCACATTTGTGAGCTTAACTTCAAATTTCTTGTTGAATTTCATGTTCAGTTGCGTTCTTTGTCCCTTGTTTGATTTCATTTTTTTCCCCAGGATTCACTTTGGACTTTAAAACAAAGCGCTGGGCACAACAACAACAACAAAAACAACTACAACAACAACAACAGCAACAGCAGAAGGGAGCAAAGTAAAAATAAAGTATGCAAAAAGAAAAAGAAAAAAGAGCTCAGGGCACAAAGGATGCAAAGGATACAATAATATCCTTAAGCTACGAATGCAACATGAATTTGTCTTTGCTCGACCGGCCATCTCGACCTTTTCCCTCGTTCTTCGAGTTGCCTTGGCGAGGCCAGAAAAAAGATAAATAAATGTACGGCCATATATGGGGAAAAGTAAAAAAAAAAAAAAAAAAAAAATACATATATAAAAAAAGGATACTCGAACTTTACAAATGCATGCACATTAGAGAGATTTACGTGTGTGCGAGTGTGGGGAAAGCAGGGAAAGCTTTCACATGCGACGCATAAGATTACTACCCACACACTCGAAAAGCCAACATCCTTTGGTCCTTTTTGCCTTTGCCCTTGCCTTTTGCTTCGACACTTATTTTAATTTATTTCATTTTCATTTATGTACAACGCTTCAAATGTCCTTTTCCCCGTGCTGCCCTCTGTCTGTGTGTAATTAAATAAAAACGGCCTTAAAGCCTCACCCACACACACGCATCCCAGTGGGTTTGAATTCTTCGACCAGCTTTTACTTTAATTGCCCAAAAACAGCTTGAGATATTCAAGATATATGGGTTCTAAGATCTCGAGCGATGGCCAAACTGCATGATGAAAACAAAGTGCTTGGCAATCGAAGGTTAACTAAAATAGCGGCAATAAAAATAATACAATAAAAAAATACATTTCAATATATGCACCCAGACGGTATAAAAGTATAAGTAATAATTCCATACTAAATAATATAAATTATTATTTAGTTTTATTTCTATACCGAAGAGTCAAAAACTGTAGTCTATGGTCTTATTTTTAAACCACATAAGCTCTACTTTCTTACCTTCATGGTAATAAATTAAAACTTATCTATTGAGAAATTTTTCATACCCCATAGTTAAATGTTACAATTTTTTTGGATGTAATTTGGTATTAGAAGATACCCCTTCAAATGTATTAACAATTTAAAAAGCCAAAAGCGAGTAACAAAAGCATTTAATTGTCAATAAAATCAATCACCTTAATTGTAATTGGGTGGAAAATTTGCGCTTTTTAAATTAATTTAAAATTAATAACATAAACATAGAGATCTTAAAAAAAGATGGGCTCCAAAATGTTATGAAGAATTTGTTGTTTTATTTCATAAAAATAAACGTTATACTATCGGTTAGTTTTTAATATTTCCAAATTCAAAATATAGAAAACTACATTTTGTCCCTGTTCTTTCCTTTTAAATTCAATATTAACCAAGCGTTATATTCAAAACCAACAATGACTTTTTGGTAATATCTTTAAAAATACTATCTGTTAATTTTTATTAGGGCTTCCGATTCAGGAAGCGCTTCATTCTGTACCTTCCAACAAATATATCATTATTTTGCCCATTAAAATGAAAATAATGGTCCAAAAATGTTTCGTTGATCTTAAACGCTTAAATCATTCGTTTGTTTCACTTTAACATTTCCCAAAATTTCGAGATGATTTAAGATTTAGTTTAAATCATATTTATTTTTTAATTAAACTTTTTGTTTTTAATTTGTTTCTTACAAGTGATTTAAAATAATATTTAAATAAAAACAACAAAAAGGCACCACCTGGCTCCATCTAACGGAGTAACATGTATTACCTTAAAACGCAAAATAAAACGGCAGAGGGCGCCACCGTTTGTGGCACAACACTTTTGGCAGTGTGACCAGTTGTCGTAAAACATCGATAGTTGGACAACCGATAGAGCTATCGATGCCATTCCCACCGCTAAATTTCACGCCATCTCACCTCTAATTTCATTAGGGTTAAAAAAAAAAACAAGTTTGTACTTGACAAGTACGGCGTATATCGTATCACATCCAAGGCGAAGAACTCAAGACCCCGCCAATCGCAGCCGTGTCCGATGCAGAGGCGATCCGCAGGATTGAACCCGGAATCCGGTGGAGTCCCGGCGAGGATGTGATGTGCGCACTGGCCCGTCTCCGCTGGTCGATATAAACTCGTGCCCCCGTCTTTTCGCCACTTTCCCGCTGTCCACCGTGCTGTCCACCGTCCGCCTCGTCTCCATCACCATCACCATCCCCATCCGTAGAACTGCAATCCTCCAGAGAAGCCAATAACTTGGCCTGGAAAAGCGGCAATCATAGTGGAACGTTTCCCACGGAGCACGACTGTGGGGCAATACTGGAAAGAGCCTGGAATATTGTTTTCCAGGAGAGATTTTGGCTATCTTGGCAGAGAACCTGCAACTGGATAATCCTGGTAATACATTTAGAGGCCCAGGTAAACCAGATATATCTTAGTTTCTGGTTCCAGGGATGATATCACGAACCAATGGAATATTGGTAGACCCCTGAAACTAAAGAAGCCATCAGGAACTCGAAAAATCTTGGCAGATCACCTGAATCTTGAATATCTCGATAAGGTATCACCGGAACCCCCTATATCTTGGCAAAGAAACCAGCATCTAGTAAAAGTCAGGAACTACCACTTCGAAGAAAAATATAACAATAATCTTGGAATTAGGAAATTGAAAATAAATTATTAACTTGAGGATTCGTGGAAGGATACCAGAAACTAAGGAATCATATTAAGTAATAAAGAACGCCAGAACCTTAAATGCCAAGATATCTAACAAAATGGCACCGAAAACCCGCGGAATCTTGGCCTGAAACTTGAAACTAAGCAATATAAGGAGAAAGTCTGAAGTCCCAGAAAAGTCTTCTAGAATAACTAAATATTAAGACATTAAAGATGTCTTAAAGGAAAGTTGAAACAAAAAAGTCTTGAATGGAAAGAGGAAACTGAGGAATACCCGAAAGAAATCTTAACTAACAACACTTAAAGGAACCTGAAACACACAGTCCGAAACGGAGCCATCTTAAGCACTGATCTTCGATCCCGACAGCTGGAAAACAGGAAGCTGCGTCTGAAGACAAAGGCAGGATCATCAGGATCCTTAGAATCCCAGGGAGATGGCCACCGCATCGGTGGACGCACTGCAGGCAGCCTATGTGGACTTCAGCGAGCTAACACTCAGAGAGGTATTCCAAATCCCAAATTGATCATACATCGAGCTGCTCATATACACTTCTTAAATTTTGTTTATTTAAAGCAAATATGCTTTATTTTCAAACTTAAATATAACATTCCATTTGACAGTCATCCAACCATTTTTCATGTTGCCATGTTTAATTTTAAAGAGTAACATTTGGTTCAGTAACTGCCAAATGTGCGAGTTCCAAACTTTTAATCTTAAACTTCTTTGGCAATCTGAATGTATCACCAACAACGTCGTGGTTTTATCTTTCTTTTGATATTTGCTTCATAAAACGAGGCTTTCGATTTATCTTTTTTTTTTTACTTATGTTCTGAGTCCTTGCATTCATTATGATTTAACATTTTAAAGGCTATAAAAAGTGTACATTCATGTTTCCTTTTATTAAAACTACATATGTATTTCATTAAAGAATCTACGCCTGCAAGATTTGAAAATATTCTCATTAATATTTAAAGTAAAAAGTGTAGTTTATTGAAGTGCAATATTTAAAATGTGTTAAATTTTAAACTTTAGTGTTATATTTTTAAATAATTTGTATTATTTCTGATTATGGAACTAGTAAGGAATCAAATGTAATATTGCTTGGAGATGAGATCTAACACTTTTACCCATATTCTACCCATAGAAAGTCGGCCATGGGTCCTACGGGGTTGTCTGCAAGGCCGTATGGCGCGATAAGTTGGTGGCCGTCAAGGAGTTCTTCGCCAGCGCCGAGCAGAAGGACATCGAGAAGGAGGTGAAGCAGCTGTCGCGTGTCAAGCACGTGAACATCATCGCCCTGCACGGGATCTCCTCGTACCAGCAGGCCACCTACCTGATCATGGAGTACGCCGAGGGCGGATCGCTCCACAACTTCCTACACGGCAAGGTGAAGCCGGCCTACTCCCTGGCCCACGCCATGAGTTGGGCGCGCCAGTGTGCGGAGGTAGGTTGTCGTCCACCATCCACAAGCGGTGTTATCGCAGGCCTCGCCCCGAATTCTCAACTCGCGGAAACTTTTCCCCATTCAATTTCATTCATTTTATCTGGTTGATAATTAGAGAACATTTTTTTATTTTTTATTAGGAATCAGTTCTTAATTGCTATACAGAAAAATGTTAAACCAATTTATTATTATTAAATCGAGTATAGTATTTGTAACTGCTAGATCAAATAATTCAATATTGTATTATTTTATTTATGATTTTTATAAGTATTATTTTTTGGCAAGGCCAAGCAACTAATTTTTGGGGAACTTTTCCCCCTTAAATGTCATTAATTTTATTATCTTAATAAATAGGGAAAATGTTTTTATTATTGTACAACTACTAGATTTGTGTTAATTGGAATCAAACTTAAAAACCTATTAGTAATAATCAAACGGTAATTTTATTGAATTAACAAAATTAATCAAGTAATTTTTGTAAAAATGCATTATTATTTAAAGCCTATCTTAACTTATTTAGTTAAACAGTAAAATACACTTATAAAAACTTAAACTGTTTGCTAATAATCAATTCATGTTATGGCTTCTTAATTGTAGTTGACTTGATAATTCAAAATAGAATGTATAATATTTTATTAGTTAAAAATATATAATCCAAATTTATTAGAAATCATCATCAGTATGAGTCTCATATTTAAGATAAACTAAGACACTTGTTATGGTAGCTGTTAGGTTATATTTTAAGAAGCTTAAACAATTATTGGTTTCGTTAAAAATCAATTAATTTAATAATTTGTAATTTGTACTTAACTTGATAACTAAAATGTCAAGTTTATTGGCTGTCCTAGTAATTCGAAATGACATCAACCATTTATGCATTACATTTTGTTTTCCTTTTCAAGGGCCTGGCTTATTTGCACGCCATGACACCAAAGCCCCTGATCCATCGCGATGTGAAGCCGCTGAACCTGCTGCTGACCAACAAGGGACGCAATCTGAAGATCTGCGATTTCGGCACTGTGGCCGACAAGTCCACCATGATGACCAACAATCGCGGCAGTGCCGCTTGGATGGCTCCGGAGGTCTTCGAGGGCTCCAAATATACGGAGAAATGCGACATCTTTAGCTGGGCCATTGTGTTGTGGGAGGTCCTGTCCAGGAAGCAGCCGTTCAAGGGCATCGACAATGCCTACACCATCCAATGGAAGATTTACAAGGGTGTGTGTTGTCCATTCTGTCCCCTTGATTTCATTAATCATCATCATTTATCTCTCACTTTTAGGAGAACGTCCACCGCTGCTGACGACCTGTCCCAAGCGCATTGAGGAGCTGATGACTGCCTGCTGGAAAACTGCGCCCGAGGACCGCCCCTCAATGCAGTACATTGTGGGCGTCATGCACGAGATCGTCAAAGACTATACCGGGGCGGACAAGGCCCTGGAATACACATTTGTTAATCAACAGGTGACATTAGCTATGCCTTACTGTGGTTACAACATTTTTCATGTTCTACGATTTTGAAGATGCGGGATTTGGGATTTCATTAAAAGATTAGATTAGGATTTAAAAAAAAATATTCAATCTATAACTCTAAATGTAGTATCATTTCTATATTCTTAAATTGTCGTTTCAAAGATCTCAGTTACCTTACTTAAAATCAAAAAATTTACTTTCAAATATGAATTATGTTTTTTGGCAAACAATTTGAGTTATAAAAATAATAATTTTATCGTTAACTTTATAATATCATTTTTATTTCCTGGGATTATCGTTTATGGTTATTTTCCTTAACTACAGTAATGTGTTAAAAAGCGAATTTCAAGAATTATTATACGTTTTTAATATCCTTAAAAAAACTAAAACAATATCAAAGCGTTTTTGAGTGCCTTTTTGTTTATTGGTTAGTAAGCAATATGATAAATTAAAAGAAAATTGTAAACAAGATTTTCATTGAATCCGTTTAAGAAAACATAGGTATTAAATGTAATTTCTATAGCTTTATTTAACAAAACTACTATTAATAGCCAAAACATCAGTTCTTCTTGTCAGCAGATTAATGAATGTTTAACTTTTGTGAGCAAAATTAATAAGATGTGAAATCCTCGACAGATTGTCACCAAAGAGAGCGACGGCACGGTGGCCGCTCAATCGGATAGCCTCAGTTCGCTGGAGGAGGAACTGAGCCCCTCGTCCACACAGTTAACACCGACAACGGCGGCCAACGCCAATGTGAATGCGATAGGAATAATAGAAACAGCAACAGCAATAGAAACAACGACTAGCTCAATGACCGAAAATACCTCATCAACATCATCGGACATCACGCCGACGAATTCGGGCCAACTTGACAATAATCCGCTATTCCATATGGTCAGCAATCGCTGGGACGCGATCCCCGAGGAGGATAGCAACGAGAGCCGCAACGACAGCTTCAACCTCACCTCGTCGGCGGAGGCCACCCAGCGCCTCGAGACGATCCGCAACGGGATGATCCAGATGGCCTGCAAGCCCATGGAGCAGCTAACACTCGACGTGGAGGCGGTACGTCTTGGGCTAGTTATTTATTTTCAATTATTACTTATTTATTTGAATATACAATATTTTATCACATAGTTTAAAAAAGAATTAAAGAACAAAATAGTAAACTAATTTCAGGGAATGTAACAAATATTACCAATAGCAATTGTCAAATGTTTAATATTTTTAAATCTTAAGTTAAGAGACCTATTAATACGAATAAGTTTGATAATCGATTTTTATATTTAATTTAGTACATTTTTTTGAACTTATTTTTTAATACAAGTATTTTAATGAATTTTGAATACTTATGAAATTATTTTGAATGGTATATTCGTATTACATTTAAACCCAATCCTATTTACCATTTATCAATCTCAATTGCATAAAGTTGTATTGATATAAATTTAGTTTACAAAACCTAAATTGTTTTGAAATTGTATACTTAAATTTGTTTTATTTGTAAACGTTATGTTTTGAAGCGACCAAATGTTTATATAAAGCTTTAATTTAAAATCTTAAAGTAAACTTAAAGTAATTGCTCATTTCCAAATTTATGTTAACCATTTTTTATTCGCAATCGAGTTTGCATGAAGATATATACTAACTATTATACCTTAAAGGTTTTTGTTAAGTTTAAAATGTTTTAAGTGTATAGTAAATAAAGTTTAGGTTTTTAACCTTTTTTTTTTTTTGGTAATATTACCTAGTTCTACCACTAATCTATACCGACGTACATACAAGTATTATTTAAACTTACTTATGATTATTGCTGCAACTAATATATTCCCTTTGATTTACTTATATCCTCCAGAATGGCTTCGATCTGAGTCGCAGCGAGAGCAGCAGCAGCAGCACGCACGGTGAGTTAACTTGCCAGAATTTTCCCTCCTATAGACCCACCTGCTGTCCGTTTGTTTTCCGACGATTTTCCGTCGTCTGCCATGAATCACACGCACATTGGCGTCAAGTTGAGAGACACAATGGCGTGGTCTCGATTTTATATAATAATAGTATTTAATGAAAACAAAATGCCCCTGTCCGGCTAATCGTCCGCTTATCTATTTAAATCCCCAATGTGAGAGATTTCAAAATAAAACTTACAGTACTGGCTGAAATGGTTTCACAAGTGCATTTGAAAAAATCGAATATTGTTAAAAATATACCTTAATACTATAAAAAGTGGATTTTAGATATTATCAATTTTGTTCAAAATTTTAATTTAAATATATGTATAATCAATAATGTGAAGGGTTTCTGACTTAGTGCTTTTAGTTTTATATAATTTATAATTTAATTTTTCTTTATGCTTAAGCCCATTTTCTTATTCTCATGGTAAACTAACATTAGTTTTTAAAAGAGCTTACAAAGAAAACGGTTTACGGATCTAAGTCTAAAATATTCAGAACCTTTTAAGAACTTGCCATCATGACAGAAAGTCTACGAAACTATATCGATTCCACATCGTTACTCACGAGATTAATAAACTTATTTTATACCTTAATACCGAAATTCGAAGATCTTTGAACATATATTCCAGTTTCTGGCCACAACCTATTAAAACATGAATGTTATTGACTTTAAATAACAATTTAATAGGGTATCCAAAAGTCGACTATGTAGCCCATATAGTTTGTCGCAGGTCACTCTTACTTGATCCTTATAGCCTGACGCATTGTGTGGACTCTTGTGGCACGACAGCTGTTGGATTTTGGCCCGTTGGCTATTCGACTATTCGACTATTCAGCTATTTGGCTATTTGACCATTTGGCTGTTGGCTGTTGGCCGTTTGGTTTTGGCTTTTAGCCGCAGGTGACGCATTTTGGCCGTGTGTAAACAATGCACTCGCCATCTCTGTTTTGCACTCAATGTTTGGTTAATTAGCCGCCGCGGTGTTTGTGTATAATGCACAAGGAATCTTTTGAACATTATTCAATTGTCAATGTCTCTGGCTGTGCGGCTGCATAAATTATAAATATTTAGTGCGCTCATTCGGATCGGCGAATCTCTAACGATCTCGTAGTGCTCTGGGCATATTTACTTGAGACTTGTAGTAGTTGAATATTTTTTAGACCATTTATATTTATTATAAATTATTATTTATTTACTGTATAATTGAAAGCAATTTTTAGTCTAAAGATATTGAAGGTAACCTAATTAAAACCTAATTAAACTTTTATACATATTTACATTCTGCAATTGGTGGAATACAAACATTTAAAATATTGGTACTAATATAAATTGAAGCTATAAATACCTAAAAATGCAAAGAAGCTTACACATTGACAACATTTTAAGTAATTTGATTTATAAAGATTATTAAAACTGTTCGAAATATAAACAATCGTTTGACTCTTACTTTAGTTTATTCCATAAACCTTTTTTGAAAATATCAAATTAATATTAAATCCCTTTAAATGTATTCCTATAAAAAATAGACAAATTAAATAGGAAATTTCAAGAATTATGGTTAAATAAGAACTCATTTCGTTCAAAACCCATACGCTTTTAAACGAATCCAGGGTATCGGTCGCAAATAGTTGCACAAAATTTCGCTGCACAATTAAATAATTTGTAATTTGTTAGCCTGGCAATTTCGGGACAGATTTATAGCCGAAGGCATGCTCCGTCGCTGCTGCCCGGCGAGCATAAACAACAACACCCCGTTTGGGGGGCGGCGGCGGGGGCGTGGCAGGTAGGGAGGAGGCGGGTTATATAGGAATATAGAGGAACGCACACATGACGATGCGATCGCCACGGACTTTTGAGCATCAGTCCCACCGAAACATGACTCATCCGGCAATAATCTCACTTTTATTTCGATTTCGTCTATATGGCAAACATCCATCCACTCACAAACACACAAACACACACACACCGTACAACTTATATATAGATCGCACATATAGAGCGAATATATGTGCGCCGATGTTACCGATTTGTATAATCGGTGGGAGCCGTCGAATCGAGTGGGCAAATCTCACTTGGCTCTCGGTTGACACGGACGGACAAGATCTCCGACTTACATATCCCCCAAACCGTATGCCGTATGCCATATGCCATATCCATACCCATCATATACAGCATATAGAGCATATAGTATGTGTATCTAGCATCTAGTATATAGATCTAGATCCCATGTAGTGCGCCAGCAATGTGTAAATAGTAAATGCATCAGCGGCCAAGTCGAGATACTTTTCGGCTCTCAAAGTTCTCGGAGTTCACCGGCTGCGTCAGATTTTTCTACACTTCCCGAAAAATGGACTTAAGATTTAACCAGCGATTGTTTTAGGTTCACCACTTGTTTTTAATTTGTCTCTCCTTTGATTTTTTTTTAACATTTATAAACAGACCAACATTTATTTTAATGATTAAATGGCCCACTAAAATTATCATTTGCTTTGCAAAACTTTCAAGACTCTTTTGTTATAACCACTGCTTTTAATTTGAAGTAAGACCATTTTTTTTTTCGAAATTGTAAGTTAATTAACATGAATTTGTATTATACAAAATTTAAAAAAAAAGGCTCTAAAAATATGAGTCATATGCAACACTTAATAATCAATTTCTTGAAACCACTTTTTTAATCTTAAGTAGCTCTTCCTTTTTTTAGAACAACAATCATTCAAGGCGGACTTAAAATATAAATTGTTTGTCAAACTTAAAAAAAAACTTTCAACAACCACTGAATTTAATCTGCGGTAATGCTGAATTTACTTGTTTTTAAAATTAATTAAAATCATATAATATGAAAAACCGGTGCACTAAAAATATTAATAGCATTACAAAACCTTAAAACCCTTTTTCAAAACCTTTATAGTTTATCTAAAGTAATACTGTTTTTTTTTAGATTTGTTTTTGGCCAATATAAATTAACCAGCATTGATTGAAATTAAAATAAAAACAAACTAATTTTCTTCAATTTTTTAACACTGCTTTTACACAAATATTTTTTTGTTGCGTGTAGGAAAATTATTCCACTTTCCCTCGACGCTTTTTCCCCCTGAGATTTCCCAATTGCAGATGCCAACTGCATTAATCATCGATTTCGATCAATGTTCGCCGCACTGCCTCGCATCGAATTTGAATGAATCTTCATTGGCTTTTGGTTCGTCATGGAATTTAGTGGGTGGTTGTATAGTTGTCTATTTATCGGGGGATCTCGATCGAAAGGGTAATTTTTTTATGACCCAATACAGGGTGATTTACGATCGGTGTTTTGGAAACGCTTTCATATTTTTTTTTTATTTTTTTAAGATTTTCCTGGAAACGCATTCAGTAAATCTTCGACAATAAATGGTTTCTACGAAATGTCTCCTGTAAATTATGGCATTTATAATATCAGTTTTTTTGGTTACAATATTTCCCGGTTTTTTGTTAGTCATGGTGTTTTGAGATGTTTTTTTAAAATTTCTCATAGGCTAATCTATATATGATTCAAACTTTAAGTATTTATTATTTGTTTTTTTTTTTTCTTCTTTTTTTTTAATATTACTGACTATCTATCGAAATCTTCGTATATTAAATTGTTGTAATATTTCGACAAATCAACTGGTGACATTTCGCTGTATTTTATGGTCTCTTTATTTAGAAATTACTGAAAATGTTTTGTTTTTGAGTATTGTTGTTTATTTTAATTACTGACTATCTATACCCGTTTTTTTTTTTTTGCCAAGAATTTTGGGTCTTTTATTTTAGCTACTTAACATGACAAGCTATTTTCGAAATCTTCGGAGATTAAATTGTTGTAATATTTCGACAGAAATTACTGAAAATGTTTTGTTTTTGAGTATTGTTGTTTTTAAAAATGTTGTTTTTTTTTATGGGGAATATATATTATATCCCTGACTGACTCAGCTTTAACCTATGTTTTACTGCGAAACCGCTTAACCCGCACCGCACACACACACACACACACACACACACACACACACACACACACATCATTGGGCGTTTTCCACCCCACCGAGTGGCAATGATGCCACAGATTTTCGTTTTGGACGCGTCATCGACATCGGGCCTCCACCCATCGTATATAGCCCCCCCCTAAATATATATCCAAGCGATCTTGCCACGTCTGCGGAGCATTTAGAAGGCAATCCCCGGCGCGAGAATTGCCGCGTTTGTTTGCTTTACGGTGGACTACAAGTGAATGTGAATGTGAATTTGAATGTGAATGTGAATGTGGACGTCTCAGCTTTGGCCTCAGTCTGCGTCCGAGAGCCGTGCGATATTGAGTGCCACGCGAGATGTTCCTCCGGAATTGTCGGGATCGTCTTCTACGATCCGAATTGCAAAATTCTGTCGAAGCGAATGCAAACCTCCCGGCATTGGCCACGAAATAAGCCTTGAGAAAGCCTTAAACCCACCCAAATTCACGTGAAATTTCCACATAACATTTTCACTATTTGTTTGCGGTTGGTTTCTTTTTCGCCGCCCCCCAAAAAAAAAAAAAAAAATGAAAATAGGAAAAATACAAAATACAAAATAAAAAACACAAAAGTGTTCGGTGGAAAATCAACAAGCAGAACTGAACTGTATGTGCGGAAAACACGTCATCGCAAGAAAAACAGAGGCGGAAAAGAAAAAAAAAAAGAAGAAAAGTGTCTGAGTGGAAATGAAGGGATGAACAATGTGAAGGATTTTCAACCGCACAAAAGTGTACAGCATTTTCCGATGCAAAAATGATACTATAGCCCAGAGTGATACAATCTGGCAGCAAAGACTAACTCACATCCTTCGCCACAAATATAGTTCGATCCTGGAATCTCAAGATGTGCGATACACGCGCTTTGATCAACACCAAACAGACCAACGATCTGCACAGTTGTTGGATCATATATAGTAGGTGATCCTTAATACTTCTACCATCACTTTGGATTCTAACATATTTTTTTTTTTTTGGAAATTGTGTTTAAGAACAGAAGAGTTTCTTTTCACTTTCGCTTCGATAAATATTTATTTAAATACCTGCAATTGTTTACCTGAAGCCCACAATCTAAATAAATATATAAATGCTTGGATTAAAAAAGATGTAAAGCGCTTATAACATTTAATTGGATTTTCTTAAGAGGAGTTGGCTTAAAAATTGATATTTTGAAAAGCTACAAGTTCTTTATTGAAAACATCATATATTTTTTAAATCATTTATTAACTCATTTAAGAATCATATATTGTTACTTTTTTGTGTTTATGAACTTTAATAAAACTTCCTAAACTTAACTTGAAATAAAAAATATTTTTTTATATAAAATTTTTACTTGAATTTGTCTGCATTTTTAATGGTTAATTATATTATAATATATATTCTTGTAGCCAAAAGCGATGGCCGCGAGCGACTCACGGTGACGGACACCAAGCCGGTGATCATGACCACAGATTTGGCCAACAACAACAGCCAATCGAACGGACTGCTGAGCCATGCCAATCATGCCAATGGGCGTCAGTCGGCGGACGAGGAGCATCATGATCCGGATGAGGAGATCGCCAACTCGCTGGACGTCGCCGTGGACCCGGACGACGAGGATGAAAACGACGGCACCGAGCAATCACTGGCCGAGATCCTCGATCCGGAACTGCAGCCAGAGCCACCGATCCCCAACAATGCCGAGTCGCAGCTGATCTACCGGGAGCACCGGCACATGGCCAAGGAGTACCTCAGCGTCGATACGAACCTCTACTACGCGCAGGACTTTAAGGACAAGCTCATCGTCCAGATGGATCGCACCGAGCGCGAACAGAAACAGGAGCTGCTGCGCAAGATTAAGGACAAGGTGAGCAAATACTACTTATTCAACATCAAAAAAATTTAAATTACATGTAGTTCTAACCGGAGTTATTAATTAAACTAAATAAGGGATTTTATTTGAACTCAAAAGTCAGTTATAAAATGCATTTGGTTCAGGGTCTTCTCTAAAAAAAGCCATTTTAATAGATACATAATAAATGAATAAATTATAAATAAATAATATAGGACAAGGTGAGGAAATAGTACTTATTTCAACATCAAAAGAATTTAAATTGCATGTAGTTCTTACCAGAGATATTAATTAAACAAAATAAGAGATTTTATTTATGCAGAAATCGATGATTTCGATTTATAAAAAAAATTCTTTTCCAATTGAATTTCAACCAAATGTCGGTTATAAAATGTATTTGTATAGATACATAATAAAGAACTAAAATTACATGAAGTTTTTACCAGATATATATTAATTAAACTAAAAATGGGATTTTTTTCAGGGTCATTTTAATAGATACTTAATAATAATAATTAATATAAGACAAGGTGCAATTAAATTACATTCAGTTGGTATCAGAGATAAAAAGATCTTATAGTTGCAAAAATATATTTTTTTTAAATTTTTTTACAATCAAATTTATATAAATCTTCCTACCGAAATCCAGCCAAAGGTCCGTTTTGCAAATCTTAATTTTGTTCAAGGTGTAAATAAATATATAAAGTTAACTAAGATAAATAATTTTAAAATTCCACAAATACAGACGAAATGGCTTGAGTTATTATTTTCTAAGAACCATTCGAATATTTTCACACTTTTGAAATTGAATTGACAGGTGTTATAAGTTATATAAAATACAATGATGAAGATTTTATTCTGGAATGCACATGAATTTGGTTTTTTGAGGAAAAAAATTTAACAAGTAAAAATATTATTTTACTTTGTATCCTATCTAGTCTTAAAAATACTTTAATGCTTATTATCTTAGTGTCATCCTGTGTAAATAGTGGAAATGAATGAAAAAACAAATGAATTTGAATGCAAAGATTTCGTTAATTAAAAACCTATTTGTAACTTGATTTTATGTTTATTTTTTAGGAGGGCCTTCAGAGTCTGTACAACAATCTGCAGCAGCAGTACGAAAGGCTACCGGCCTCCCGCCAACTTCCAGCCGGCCATCATCCCCATCCGCACACACATCCGCATCCGCATCCGCACCCACATCCTCATCCACATCCTCATGCACATCAACATCCACTTCCACATCCGCACCCCCATCCGCATCCGCATACACATCCGCATGTGCATGGCCAGCAGGAGGAGATTGGAGGATTGCTGCCCGGATCGGTGACCGGAGGCTCCGATTCCGTGGAAACCGACGGCTGGGTGGTCATCCAGCCGCATCCCAATGCGTAGTCTCCTCATCCGGATCGACTCTCTATATGTTTTAGGCTAGTGCTGTAATCTGTAAACTGTACTCTGTAATCTTTAATCTGTAATCCGTATTCTGTAATCTGTAAACCGTAATCTGTTAACCGTAATCCGTAATCGGTAACTGTATCTGTATCGTTATACCATAGCACAGTGTTTATTTCCATATTTCAGATGCGTTTGTTCGTTTTAAGCTCTTTTTTTTTTTTTTAAATTTAAGTCTAAGCGTTTTTAGTCCGTGTGTTTCGATTTATTTGGCAAACACTAGTTTTCACCCATAAGCATTCTTTGAAACTTAATTTAGGTTTTAATTGTACTATAAAGCTTATATACATACACACATACTTAGCATACAACATATATATATATATCTGTCCGAGGAAGCTGACAAGGAGTAGACCAAAAAAAATATAAAAACCATCGAAAGCAACGACAAAACTCACTAACGCATTTTTGTAGTGTTCTGATTGTTAAGAACTTTGGCAACTTAAATATATAAATGCCCCTGAAAAAGGAAATCCATACTATAACATTTAATTTTTCAGTTTTCCCGCCAAACAACATGTTTAAATAATTATTTATTGTATTTTCTCATTTATTGCCATAGACCTAAAGTACAGAAGAATAAATTCTTTATACACAATTATTTGCCCTAGTAGGTCCTTCTTAATTCTGTCGATTCAACATTAAGGTCATTTTAAAATAATAAATAAATTAGGCAGTATGAAATCTTAAAAATTAAAACTAACAATGATTTGCTAAATGAAGATTGTTGGTTAACTTGACTACGTAATTAGTCAAGTCAAATGTTGAGAAAAAAACAAAGATGTATGTTATAATGCCACGTCGTTTCGACGTCGAAGGACAAGCTAGGGCTAATGACAAACTTTCTTATTTTAGTCTATACAATTTAAGTACAGGTTGCCTTACAAGTGTTACATTTAACTAATTGTTATCATTCAAAAGCGAACTGAAGGCATATGCGGTCTATACAAATTGAATTACAAGTTATTTAAATAATTTAATATAACATTAATCTTCAACATCTTTCAAAGGCGAAATGAAGGCATATATGTACATTTTCTGTCACTGTGCAGTCATCACAAAATCTCGCATGTATGTCTACGCTACTAGCTACACATACTATATATAAATATCATGAGAATCGCTAAATTCGATGGGGTTTATCATCATTGTCCATCAGAAATCGCACATGGGCACATAGATGGCCGCACATGTGGACTCCCAAACATCGTTTGGCGAGTCCCACGAGTCCTTTTCGCGCCACCACTCCTTGCTATCCAGATCGTAGGCCATAGTCTCCGCACTGGCCCGATCGATCGACTCCGTGGAGTCGAGTCCGCCCACAAAGAATATGGTTCGGCCCATCGCAGTCACGCCGGAGTAGAATTTCGGCGCCGGTATCTGAGTCTCCACACTCCACGCATTGCCCTCGATGTCGTAGGCATAGATGTGCTGCACCAGAACCCGCGATTCCGTCAGACTCTCGTGCCATCCGCCGCAGGCATATATCCGATTGTCGACGGCCACCAGGACGTGGTCACAGCAGGGCGTGGGCATCGGGGCCAGCTCCTGCCAGTGTTCCGCCTTCGTGTCGAAGACCCACATGCTCGCCAAAATGTTGGCCAAATGGATGCCACCTGGTGGTAGAAACACTCAATCAATCAATATGTTTGATTACCCAATTACGCTGGTTGTAAACGATGCAGCGGCAGCATACATATAGCTAAGTGCAGCGGGTGCATCGTCTAAAAGAGCTTTGGGCTTTATAAATTAGTTAGAAACAAGTATTTGTTACTTTAAAAACACGCTAAGCTGTTCGTAAACGGTGCAGTGGCATGAGTATTTCTCATTTGCAGCTGTATCGTCTATAACCACTGTGAGGTATCATCATAAAACCCTAATAGACCTTTTCAATCTCGTTGTAAACGATGCAGCGACAGCATTAAATAACCAAACATATTTATACGTTTAGCTAAGTGCAGCCGCTGCATCGTTTACAACCAGCTAGCAGCTTCATTTAAATACAGGTTAAGCTGTTGAAAAACGTTGCAGTGGCTGCATAAGAACTTTCTATTGCCGCTGCATCGTTTACAACCACCTTAAGTTATTGTAAACCCACCAGAGATGTACAGCTTATCGCCCACAACGACGCCGGCATGCTGACTACGATTCTCCTGCAGACTGGGCATATAGGTCCACACATTCTGGGCAATGTCGTAGCGCTCCACATTGGAGATCATGCGCAGCGCCTCCTCGGAGTTATCGTCGTCCAGAATTCCGCCCACCGCATACAGATGCTGTTTGCCCACCGCATTGAGGGAGAAACGGCAGCGATCCAACTGAATGGGGGCAATGGTCATCCACGTATTTCTCAGGGGGCAGTAGCAGAAGCCAAACGGATGGATGTACTCCTTCAGACAGACATCGTAGGCCCCGCCCACGATGAAGAGTTTATTGTTGAGAACGGCAGTGCCAAAGTTGCCTGGAATGCAAGAGAATGAGTAGACTGTAATTTAATTAAGTTTATTGTTCGATGATAACTTTAATGATGAATTGATAAATTGATTAAATTCTTGTTAACCGCTTATCCAAATAGCAGTAAAGAAATCTCTAAACATTAATAGTAATGGTATTTCAAAAATTAAAAAAAATAAAATATTTCAATCCACCAACATTGTTTTACATGCAATTGCGGTTGAAATAAATATATAATTACTTATGAAAAATAAATAAAAATAGTAAGGAAGTCACTTTTGAAAAAAAAATTGTATTGTTCTGAAAAGTTTACACTAAAAACTTTATGGGTAAAAATTTTAAAATGCGCATTTCAATTAAGTATATTTTGAAATATTAAAAAGAAAAATTTGGAAAGAAACAATTTATGTTAATGTTTAATTGTCTAACAAGATCAGCTTTTAAGATACGAGTTAATTTTGTGATTTTATGGCATCGTTTTAAAATGATTTACTATCGCATATAATTCCTTAGAAAACTAAAAATATATATATTTTTTTTTTGTTTGTAGTAAAATAATGTTTTTAATCTGTACATGAGGTAAGCTCGCAGCAGAAGTAATCAATAGTAATCGAGGAATCAAAACACTTAACACTCACACTGATCGATGTGCGGTATGGCGGTCAACTCGTACCAACTCATCTTCGTTGGCGAGAAGCACATTATCACATTGGTCAGTCCCTTCCACTCGAAGCCGCCGATCTTGAGCAGGCACAGCTCCATGCCGCGCATGTTCTTGGGTCCCTGGGCACCGGCGGATTGATCCTCCAGGCTCACCGCCACTCCGTTGAGCAATCGCCCCATGCACTCCTGTTTTATTCGATTGTAGTAGGTGGTGGGCAGCTGCAGTTGCTTGCCCTCGTCCAGCGAGCAGTTGAGATGTCTCAGTTCGTCCAGCGACTTGTAGCTGATGTGTGGCCAGTTGATCAGTCTGAGCAGATCCCCCAGGACGCTCTCCTCCAGCTGCTGTTCCAGGGCATAGCTGCACACCAGACGCACCAGCTCCTGTTCGGCCACATCGATGGGATAGTTGCTGGAGAGGATGAAGCGCAGCTGGTCCACCTTCATTTCCTTGAAGTCCGACGTTGTCGCAAACTCCTCGAAGTGGGCGCATATATAGCGGTGTGCCCGCTCCGATAAGTCCATAATCCCATAGATATCGGCCATGCCCGCAATGGCCAGGCAATTCTCCATCTCGATCTTGGTGCCCAGAAACAGGGTGCATCGCTCGATCACCTCGCGCACCTGTACGTGAGTGGCTGCCGCCAGGATCTCCTCGATATTATCATAGTTCAGTTCCAACAGCGACGTGTATATATAGTCGATGATCGAGCCCATTGCCCGGGCCGTAATCCCGTACAGATTTATCTCGTCCTTGCGCGACTCGATCATGGCACAGTCGGCGAACATGGCGCAAAAGTAATCGCTGCTGGCCGCCAGGACAACGCGGTGCGCCTGCAAAGGGACGATATATTAAAGTCATGTTCTATAAAGTTTATATGGAATTTATTAAAATTTTCGATAAACCCTTAACTAGACTTTTAAATGAGGTACAAATATTCTTGCTTACAGAAATTCTTTAAAATTTACAGATTTATTAAGTAGTATGCTATAGTTACCAAAAATATAATTGCATTTCTTTTATAGAGATTATATGGAATTTATTTTAATTTATTTATTATTATTTAATAATATTAATAAATATACAGATATATTAAGTTGTGCTCTTAAAACTTTTATACAATTTTAATATCAAAATAATTATTCAATTGTTTTATTCATTTTTTTTTATAAGGAATGTATGTAATTTTAAGGTTAAACCTTTAACTATAATTTAAAATAGGGTACAATTTTTTATCTACTTTGGCAATCAATTTATTTTGAATACGCATGTTATCCAAATTTTAATTTTATTTTGATATCAAAAATATTATTCAAGTTTTTAATAATAATTATTTAAAGGTGGTACAAAATTAAATTTTGTAAATATGCTTTAATCTATATTTGGTATCAACCGTATTGTACAATACCTCATAACATCAAATTTAGCAATCGCTTTAGAAAATACAATCTAAAAATTACATCACACACATTTGTATAAATATTAGGTAACACAAACAAGTTTTTAAAAATTTTATTCAGGGCTAATTCGATTTTGAAACAGATTCCGGGAATCCCTAGTTATATATAGCAACACAAGAAAATGCGTCATCGCCAGAAACACATTAATTTTTGTCATGGATTTGTTTTCATTTTGTATTATTATTATTTGGCAAGAGAAAGTAAAGATGAGCGTTTTTTTTTTTTTTTTTTTTTATTTTTTGTGTCTTCGATTATCATTTTGCGTACCACTTTAACCCTATAACTAGTCACCTAACGTCGAAGTCTCGTGCTTTGTTGTTTTCATATATAATTAATACAAACTTGCCAAACTTTGGAGTTGATTCGATAAATCACTGCTAGTGATCGTCTTATGAGATGTTTTAGGATACGTTTCCATCCGGTTTAGCAGAAATCGGATGATTTTATTTGATAACAAAACTAGTCTAATCATAACTAATTCGTTTTTAAAGATGCGTTAATCAAACTTGGTATGGTCAGTTTAAGGCTAAATTTTAGACTATTGTATAAAACAGAAAAGTAATGGTATAGAAAATAGCTTATGATTTTGAATAAGATTTTTAAGATAGACCTATGAAACATGGTATAGTGCAAACTGATTTGTTTTTAGATATACTTTAATCAAACTTGGTATATACACTTTTATGGCCATTTAAGACTATTGTCTGAAAACTAAGATATAAGGAGATTATAACTACAACTCCTATGAAATTTGGTATAGGGCGTATACATATGTAGCACCTGGCGCACTTTATTAACTCACACAAATGACAAAACATACCAAAATTACATTTAATTGGTTCTCGTTTTAAGCACCTATGGTATGGGGTCTCCTAAGATGATTTATACCCGGATCGGTTGGATATATAACAGATGTATGTACATATATACCTTGAATCGATGCTCCTCGACGATAAGAGTGACGTCCGTGAGTTTGTTTTCGGTGCGGAGTTTGTTCAATCCGCGGAGAAGGGTTTCCTCTTCGCAGGACAATGGATTCGGATTCGCAGGACTTTTCGTTGCACTCGCTGCCGACGTCGCTGCCGGCGTCGCTGCTGGCGCTGTCGTCGCTGCCATGTCGGTTGTACAATAGAGATTACCAATTAGCACGGCTTTTATTATGTTAACCTATATACTATGTGTATTATTAACCCAAGGTTGGGGAATACGTCTGAAATTCTGATAACAATTTCTTGAGATTACGAATGGATGCGAGACTGTGCGAGAGCGAGAGCGAGACAGAGAGGGAGAGGGGCGATATGAGAGGGCAGCACTTTCTGTTTACACTCGCGGCCAGCTGTCCAATAACCGTTATTCGACAAAATTGCCAGCAATTAACGCACAAACAAGCACAAGTATAGTACAAAAAAATAATAAACACTAAATAAAAACTAGGAAACTTTTCGTGCGTTTTCACTGCTTGGTGCTGCCACTCTGCTTCTTTATGTTTCTTGTTTCGTTTCGTCGCTTTTTTGTCTACTTCTTCTTCTTTTTTGCGCAAGCAGCAGGTTGGGAAACTGGGAGCACTATGCACGTTGCGATCGGTATGATGAAAGTCAAGGGTATTTACACGTATTCTGCAGTTAGTGAGGACTTACTCCTATCTAGCGGATACTTACTCCGCAGCTAGCAGAGTTTTAAACCATACCTAGCGGAGATTGTCCCGCAGTCAGAGATGAAAAAACAACGATGCCACCGAATTTCGTGATTGCGAACATAATTCTTTTAACCATGTTTGAAATAAAAAAATAATAGTATCCATAATGCGACCGAGGCGTAAAGAAATCAAAAATTGCGCCATCCTGACGTATAAAAGCTGACGTAAAACTACTGTTGGCTCTAACGAAATATTATTTAATTTCAGTATTTTCTGGTATTTTTTATAAAAACATTCGGGGCGAATGATTTTTAATCGCATTTATTTTATAATGTCTGCACACAGCCGCTAAAAAAAGAGTCTTAGCGAAAAAGTTGTAGCAACCCATTCACACAGGCACCCGCTTATGCAAAAACAGCTGATCGGTCTACTAGAAGTAAATAAAAACTAAAAATAAGAAGAAAATAACACAAATTCAATTTTCCCGCCAACAAAATGCATAAAATGTTGTCAAATGTATTTAATCCCAGAGAATTATAAATTAATATATGTGTTGTTTAAAATGTTAACGTAACTGTTGAATTGATATATTCCGTTAGTTCTGAAATTTTTCTTTTTAGTTAGAGATGGAAAAACACTTGAAGTGCCTTGTCAAACATCGATACTTAGAATTTTCGAAAACATCGATCACCACAATGATATTATCGATTTTATATCGATATTGCATCGAAGTTATCCCACCTCTACACACACCTCTACGAAAAACATCGGACGAAAATCGAGTGAAAAGCGGAGAGCGAGTAAAACAATAAAAAGAGAGTAAAAACACACAATTAATTAAATATAATTTGCCCAAAAATACAAAACAGTGTGTGCGCGCGCGATCCCCCAATTATGAATTAAAATTAATTAAGGAAACGTAAGTGCAGGCGACAACAAAAACACAAGTGTGGCGTGAATTTTTTTTCGTGTGAAAAGGAAAAGGCGAAAAGTGTAATAAAAAAAGTGAAAAGCCAGAGATAAAGGAACAGGCAAACAACAAAATATGAAACGAAGAAAGGTCAAAGAAGATAAATAAATATTAGCAAACATTATGTTATTTGCTAGTGGCAAAAATATATTTTATTATGTTTGCCGCCGCCGACGACGCCAAAAACAACAACAACAATAAAGAAAGCAACAGTCGGAAGAAGAAGAAACATAAGCGGCAACAACAACAAAAGAAAATGCAAATGCAACGTGCAAGCAATTGACATTTTTACTATCTTTATGTTTTTTTGCACCAGATAGCATAATTAAATGTGTCGCGTTGTTGTTTTTTCTCTGCTCTCTTTTTTCGCACGCTGCAACCTTAAAGAAGAAGAAGAAGAGCAGAGCAATTACGAAAGGAAAGAAAAGAAATTAAAAAAGAAAAGAAAAGAAGCTGCGTGCGTGTGTATGTGTGTGACCGCGCCACATGAGGAAATACCAAAAAAAAAAAAACAAAAAAAAAGTAAAACAAAAAATTGAACCCAAAAAAATAATCCACAAGGAAAACATAAAAACACAGCGGAGGTCACCATATTAGCATCATGTTTATTTAATAAACTAATATGATTCTGCAGATTTTTTATATGAGGGAATTTAATATTTGTTTACAATCGGCTATTTAACTCGTACAATAAATATACGTCAACTGAGAATGTTTAATTGCTTAGATTGTTTGTGTAACAATATAAGAAATGTTTGTTATTACTACAATCGTAATTTTCAATATATTTGTGTTACAGTTGAAAAACAACAAATCTGTGCTATTTTTCTGGTCGGAGCTGTAATATTTTTTGCCTGCCACTGACTCATGTTCCATTGATAAGAGGAAGAAATACGGGGATAGAGGGGAAAAAAACTAGAAGAACAAATTAGGAAAAGGATTGCGGAATGTCCTAAAATAAACAAACAATAAATCGCCTTATCAGTTCAATACATTTTTGTTTATGTTTTTCTCTAGCTGCAAATATCAAACGATAACATAAATATACAAAAAGAAGCCAAGAGGAAATCAACAAGCAACACGAATTTGAAAAAACCCTGGAAAAATCAAGAAGATAATCATTCTACATATTTGGTAAGTTCCATATCCGATGTGCTTAGTTTCTAAAAACAGTAAAACAATTGAAGATTTTACCTCTTCTTTGCGCACTCTCTTCATCACTCTCTTCTTTTTGTTTCCCAACTTCGACTTTTTCTTTTTCCACTGTACGCAAGCAGCGAAAGTTGTCTTCCTGCTTTTTTTTTTATTTATTTTTCCTTACTCCATTTTTTTCTTTAATTGGGTCTCTTTTTGAATTATCCTCTTCTCTTTAAGGAGAATTCATCAGATTCTGCAAGACTTTGCAAAGAAGGTATAGTAAGGAAAAAAACAGTTTTACATTCAAAAACTTTAGAAAACGTTTGGATTTTCTGAATATAATTTTTAAAATATTGCAAGGTGTTTTTTCAATTTTACAACTTCAGAATCTCCTATGAATACCTTGATAAAAACGTAATCTTATTATTTACTTTAATTTGAGGTAAAAATATAAGTATAATTTAAATTTTATTGATTTAGTTAAACAATTTCCAGATGATTTCTGAATAATACTGAATGAAGTTGATTACTACACATTAAGCAATTGCAACAAAAGTTTCAATAGGGCTATTAAAATTATTGGTAAATAGAGACCACCCAAAAATTACAAGACAATTTTCGTGAAAAGCCTGTAATTGGCATTCGATACTCAAAATAGCCTTTGCTTGATTCGTTGCATTTTCCCAGCAATTTTCGCAATAAAATTAACTGATTATTTTCAATAAATTTTACCATTAGCCTTACATTTTTACCTTTTAATTTCGTTGACATTGCCCTGAACTTGAGGACAATAAGCAAATAAAAAAAACCAAACACACGCACAACTGCTGCAAATGGTAAAAGTCAATAGATAATTACGTATAATGAGCAAAGAATTACGTTGCCCAATTGGCAATTATTGCAACAATAGTTAAATCCATTACGTGTTTTTTCTTCCCCCCTTATACTGGCTAATAATAACGGGCATTTCGAACTCGGTCCGAATCACGAATTGTAAGAAAATTCAACTTTATTCGCCGGACTTCGGTTACTGTTACTGTTATTACCACTCCATGGGTTAATGTTTTTTTGTATTTTGTTTTTTTCTTTTTGTCTTGGTCAACACGCAAGAAGCAAAAGTAACACAAGAAAACCAGAGGGGAAGAGAAATAAAAACAGCAACAAACTGAAATTACATAAAACCTTGAAGCTACACTCGAAGAAATGGTTATAGTTAAAGCTCAACTAGTGGTTTGTACTGTAAAAAGTTTCCGCTTTCAATAAATAAACTGTTAAATATTTTTCAAACTTTTCAAATGCATAAAAAATAATTTGGGTTAAGCCTAGGTCATAAAAAAACGTAGAAGAATTGTATTTTGTCTCCATTAAAATAAAAAATAATACAATAATTTTATTTAACATGTATTCATATAATGTTTTAATTAGGTATGTACTTTCGATGTAAATAACGTTTTACAAAATTTCCAAATTCTCTTCATGCAGCTTTTACTGTCAATTTAATAACGAAAGACGAATCGAAAGGATTTTCTTCGTCTTGTAGTCTTTTTTTCTATTTCCTCGAGTTACCTTCCCCTCAATATCCTGTACAATTCGAAATAGCTATTTGTCGCAGTGTGCAGAAGGGGTTGGGGGCCTGGGAACCGCTGTCTTCACCTTCTGCTTTAAGCCTGATGGAAGCGGTCCGAGCACGAGCCGCCTTAACCCAACGTGGGGCAAACGAACTCCAACTCAAAAGTCCGAACCAAGCCGCTTGATTAACCTTCTTTTTTATTACAATATTTTCGTTGACTCTTTTTCGTGTGCTTATTGCTTTTGTTTTGGTCGTGGTTTCAAGGCGGCCACACTCGGGATGGGAAATTAAATGCACTGCAATTACTGCACCCAAAAAAATAAAATAAAATAAAATAAAGAGAATAAATGTCGGGGGCTAGATAGGATCTTGATATTGGGGGCTAAAGTGAAGAGAACAGAGTTCAAGGGAGTAGAGTCGAGATGTGGTTACAGCTGAATGAGCATGGGCTTCACTTTACTAGTACAGTGAGTACCAATAAAAAATCTCGTTTTTAATTAGACGAAGTTTATCATTAGAATTCTTTATGCATAGTACAAAATAAATTAAAGCAATTATCTATAAACTAAATACTTTCAAAACATAATCCATAATCCATTGAAAAGATAAAAATATTTCTTAAAAATTGTTTTAACTGACTTTAAAAGTCCTTGTTAGTTAAAAATAAAATGCAAATGATCATATTCTTCAATGATTTTAAATGGTTTAATTTGGTTAGATATGTGATTCATAGTAAAATAGATTTAAATACGCAGAAAATCAAGTTTTTATCTCTGTGGGGGCATATAAACAAATCATTAAGTTTCTATCGTGTTATGCATTTTTATTCAAATGTTGTTCAACGTATTTTCAATGCAATTCTCTATTTTGCAACACCCCATGAGCCATACACTTCGTTTTTATTTATTTACTTATTATATCGTTGTCTTTTTTTTTGCAATCTATTACTCATTTGTTGTTGTTGTTGGGTCGTCGGTTAATTAAGCTCAAACATTTGTCAACAGCTTGTCGTTGTTCTTTTTGTTGCTTTGTTAGGCTTTGTTGTAAGTCGCGTGAAAATTACAACGTTATACAATTTAAATACTAGAATAAAGCTCTTGTTATTGTTGCCGTGCTTGTTGTTGCATGACAAGAAAGCACCGGGGAAAATGTGGAGATGACATAACCTCAAGCATAATACTAATATTAGACAGTTGCGATCATTATAATAGAAATTTAGGGCTTACAACATATTCTAGACCTTAATATATTTCAACCTTTAAAAGTCTGGGGAACTTCTCACACCCAGTGCTTAAAATCAATGTTTTTATTTGGATTTGCCGGTTATGCAAATACAACGCTATCATTGCAAACATTTTTTTTTTGCCCTACTTCAGATATGTTTTTACTGGGAAAAAGAATGCCAAGGTCGTAATAATAAGCATTATTCACTGTCTTCGGGCTTTTTGGCTCTTGTTCTTCTCTTTTCGCGATAACAGAAGAGTAAGTCAGTTTCTAATGAAATGACAAAAACTTTGCGACGTGAAAATGCGGCAGAAAAAAAAGGTACACAAGAAAAATAACAAGTGCGACGGAAGGCAATCGAATTGGGTAGAGTAAAACGAGTTACCACCTAGTACCACCCTCTTTTCTTCAAGAACCGGAAATGGGGCCAACAAGAACAACTCGCCAAGAGTTACACAAAAATATTTAACATATTTCGCTCTTGTTGATTTTTGCGCTGTTTCTTAACGCTTTTTATCGGTTGTCAAGCCACATTGCATTCCATACCTATAAATATTTATGGGTGGGCTACAGTTACAGCTGTAAGTTAGAGGTTTAATAACTGATTTATTGAAATTATTGTACTCAATATATGTTCATCGTTATTAAATAAAATACAAAATAAAAATACTCTGTGGTTTTGACTATTTTCTTTCTAATATTTATACTAAACAAAACCAGTTTTTCTAATTCTCAGAAATATTATCCCCTGGTGCTTTATATAGTTCGTAGAAAATATATACATAGCTGACATTTTTTTCAAATCTTTTGTACAAATAGTTTCAATTGACCTAAAAAAAAGAATTCCCTAGAATATATTGTATTATCCTCTAGGGCTTTATGAAATTCTGGAGACGTGACTTAACACAACCTAATTGTAGCATTGCATTGATCTACTATTTGTCGCCCTCGGAATCGCTTAATATTAATATTGACCGACAAATGGGAAGTGCAAACAAATTGAAATCGTCGTCGTTGGCGCAATTGTCTACCTTATCGTTGCCGCCTGGCCGAAAGCAAACAAATGCCAATTGCAAAAACAGACGGGGACTACTCTTGAAAAATGAATTGAGCAAGCAAATTGCAGGGGAAACGAGAATTCGAATGGGTATGGAAATGGAAATGAAAATGGGAAAGGGAATGCGAATGCGAATGCGAGTGCGAATTAGAATGGGGAATGGGGCGCCACTTTGATTGGGATTTTGGGATTGGGTTGTTTACCAACTTGTGTCGAGTGAATCGGACTGTTTTCAGGTGGCTACCAGACGAAAGGGTGTCCTAGTGATTGGGCTTTGTCCACCTTGTGATTACATTTCACTCCCCAAAGCCAAAGGCCGGAAGAGTCGGAAAGGAAATGCAGCAGGAAACAGTCAGTCAGCCAACTGACACTGAATCACTGAAAGAAATAGGTAATCTTGCTTTGTTAAATACGACAGATTCCCAATGAAAATCAAGTATTAAACAAAATAAACTTTTTAACAGATTTGCAAAATAAAAATAAAATTACAAATGAGTTTAAAGTGAATTCCCAAGTGATATAAATGAAGTATTTAAATAAATTTGCCAATAAATTAACAAATAAATAAACTTACAATAAAACAAATAAACACATTTTTTTTTAAATAGAATTTTTTAAGATTTCCTTATAGAAAGTAAATCTATGAATATTTGTGTATAATTGCCACTTGTTTTTTTTTATGAACGTGCAGACGGAATCCAGATTCATCTCAGGTTCAGACTCATCAACGTCGCCATTATCAACTCGAGCGTTGTGATTATCCTGATGATTGTGGCCCTGCTGCCGCTGTCATTTTATCTCTGGCCTCTGTTTTGGGTGGTTCGGGTTGCTGATGGGAGGGGGTGGGGGAGGGAGGGGATTTGGGTGGTTGCCCGGCTACTGTAGTATGGATGGTGGGTGGTGGGTGCCTTCGACACGTGCGACAAGCGCTAAGTGGGCGGCTATGCGCTATCTTTCGGCCCGCCAGCCGTTTCCTCTTATCATAAAACAAAGGCGGGAGCACGGGGAAAAAACAACAGCAGTGTATAAGCTTTCATGAGAAAAACTTGGGGAATACTCTTTCATTTTGTATCCTAATAGATTTCTAAAAATGTATACAAATTTATTTTAATGCTTTAAATAATACATTTTTCTTCTTTTCTTAAT